TTCTCCAGACATCTCACTCATCTTTATCATCTTATCGTCTTTAAGGTTCCTTTCGACGATGTCCATGATCTTCACCATGTTGGAATCTACTGCTCCAAGCCAGATCCGCATCCTGTTCCTGAACTCTGTCCAGCCACTCTTCTCTTCTTGCCATGTTCCTGGGGAAAATGCTTCGGGGCTTTTGATTAGCTTGTGCAACTCCACTTCTCCAGGCTTTCTTTGTTCCTTTACGGCCTTCTCCAGAGATGCTCCTATCTCCTCAAGTGTTGTTGCTGCGTTCGTGTGGGCGTCTGCCAACGCTGTCCGTGCTGCTTTCTGCTGTTCCTGCACTGCTGTGAGTGTTTCCTGAAACGCTTGTGTAAGTCCTGCTTCTCTTTGGCTTCCTGAAGCTGCTGAGGTCCTGATCTCCTCTGCTAGTGTTTGTATTCCTTGTAAGGTCTGTGCATTGATCTCTGCAAGTGTCTTCAATGCATCCTCCATTCCTTTTGCTGCTTCAAGGTTGCTGTACACTAGTGCTGCTAGAAGTAGTGACTTGCACTGCTTCCTGTTCACTGCTTGTGCTCTCCTTTCTCCTCTTGTTTTCCTTTGGTGCTTTGAGCTTCTGCTTGCTCTTGTAAAAAACAAACTGGAATAGTACGACAGGGTGATCCAAGTAATCAGTCCCACTGGGGTTCCTAAGAACACTGCTATGCGAATTCCTTGAAATACAACTCTGTTGGAAATGACTTCCTGAACTATCACATGCACGACGTCGTGAAACTTCTTTCCTACTTTTGCTAGCTTTTCGACGAAACTCTGAACACGTTCCTGTACAAAATTTCTCAGTACTTCTCGCTGTTGTTTTACTAGGTACCTAGGGGCGTAGCCTGACTCAAGGCTCTCACTCTCCTGCTTCTCGGTGTTCCGGTCGCCGTTCCTGTTCTCTTCCGTGTAGTACTCGCCGATCACGCTAACGACGCTGTAGAGCTCGTGCATCACTTGACTCGCACACAAAAGGGTGTACGGTACCATTGCTTTTCCTATCTGCACGTAGTCCTTGATCGTGTACGCGTTCGTGTTCCTGATCGTGTTCACGTTGGTGCCGTCGAGGTTCACGCTGCACACGTTGTAGCCTTCCTGGTAGTACTCGCCGTACACGTTGTAGTTCCTGTAGCTTGTCGGGTGCGTATTGGGCTTCCTTGCTCTGCTCGTCCACACGGCTATAAGTTCGCTTTCGTCGCTCTCCACGTACGTGAGTTCCTTTCTCCCACGGCTCGCATCCCTGGAGGATACGCCATCTCCAAGGGCAAGTTCTTCCTTGACCTTCTCGCTGTTGCCAAGGGCCTGCCACGGTGTCCCAACCACACTTCTTGTTCCTGGGTTCAAGGTCATCCCGCAAAACGTTGCGAGGCATCCCAGGGCGAAACCAACCAGCAGCACAACACATGCTGCCAGACCGTAGCACTTGACGTTCCTGTACTCCTTCTCTTCCACCAGAACTCTGTCTGGGTAGCAGTCTGCACACGCGTCGAAGTCTCGAGCGTTTCCTGCTGTCACGTTGTGGTTCCGAAGGTGTCCACAACCTCTGCGGTGGTACTTGGTTCCTGAACGTACTGCGATCCTGAGCGTGGGCATGACCAGCACTGTCTCTTTCTTCTTGGTCACTTGTTCGTTCGCGCGCATCTGCTTCCATCCAGCAACGAGGCAAACTGCCATGGCGGCGAGCAGCATTGTTCCTACTGCTACGAGTAGCATCATCGCTGCCAAGGAGGTTCCTGGAGGCAGCTCCGCTACTAAGGGTTCCTACCCACAAAGACTGTCGGACACTTTTGTTCCTGGGCACGGTGTGTCCTGGGGTCTCGAGCCTGCCACGTCGCGTATGCGTGTCGGCTGTTCCTATGCATTAATTAGCACTGTAGTTCCTGCAGGTGTACTGTCACAGGTGGAATGTTTAACAGCGAAGCTCATCCATGAAGACGACGGCGTCCTGGAAGAGGCGCCCCCGATTTTCGTCGTGCCCGGCGCGGGCGCCAACTCGAGAGAAGTCCTGACAAGGAGGCGCGGCCACCCACAGGATCATGGCCTCGCCGTTGGGGTCGGCCTCCCGAATCAGCTTCGCCACCTCCTTTTTCGGGGAGTCGTCCAGGAGGCTGCCCCTGTGCAGAAGCCAGGGCATGGCGGCCGAGGCGACCGAGCAGCATGCCCGATCGATCTCCCAAGAGATGGCCAGCAGCGGTCGCCCGAAGGCGGACGACACCAACCAGGGCGCTGCCCCAATGCCGTCGAAGGCGGAGAGGACGATGATGCGATCGCCCTTGGGCTTTCCCGGCGTGAGGCGAACCCGCTTAGCGGGGCTAGGGTCGGGTGCCGCGTCAGGGCCCCCAGTTGACGCGGCCCCGTGCTGTCCCTAGCGCCACTTCTTTCCGCGCTGTGGGGCGGCCCAGCTCCCCGCCTGCTGATTCTGGCCCTTGGCGGCGTCGGGCTGCTCCCAGCACGGATGCGCTTGACAGGGGGCTCCACCCAGGAGTCGTCGGCGTCGGTGCTCGTCTGGGTCGGCTGTGGCCTGCCCTTGGTCCGCCCATCTGGGCGGGGAGGTACGAGGAGACGTCCGCCACGATGTCGGCGGTGGCGTCCTTGAAGGTCCTCTTCTGGCGGAGGTCCATGGCGAGGCGCATCGCCATAGAATCCCAGTAGGACACCAGGGCGAGAAGGTTCGCATTCCTGCCCCTCGCCCGGCAGTCCCACCAGGCGATATAGGACTCGATGTCCTCCTCCGCGCCCAGTTGGACGAGTATCCAGGCCCCACGAGCCCGTCGCAAATGGCGATGACGGACTTAGGCTGCCACGGCCTCTTCTCCTCCGCCACCAACTTGCCGCCCACGAGGTGGAGCGCGGCCGACGTGGCCGAGTCGCGGCGCCCGGCGGCGAGGGGGTTAAGCTCGTTGGTGGCGGTCCACGTCCTCTGCGACAGGATCTCGCCCAACCCCAAGGGCGAGTAGGCGAAGCTGACGGTGTGCGCCCAGTGGATTCTGGCGAGCACCTCCTCTGCCCCAGCCAGGCGGCGCGTAGGGAAGGACCTCCGCCGCCCAGGCGGTCGTTGTAGGCCTTGACCAGCGTGCCCCACTCGGCGAAGTGCTTGGGCGGCCCAGCAGGTGCCGTCGGCGGGAGGCAGCGTGCCGCCGTCGAAGGGGCCGGCGCGACCGGGCCCGGGGGCGGCAGTCGGTGCCAAAGCGGTTGCACGGGCCGTACCACGTTCCATTGCGCCCTGGCCTCTTCCCACATGTGGGTGAGGACCGCCCTGGCGGTCGGCAGTCGGCCGGGGTCAGCTTGTACTTGTCCCCCCCTCCCGTGACGAAGCCGGGCTATACCCGAAGCCCCAAACCCTGCACGCTGAAGTCATGAAGCCTCCGCTGGGTCGAGGTCGCCGGAGTTTCCTGAGCCGCCACCGAGTGGGTGGATGATGATCTCGGCGAAGCGCTCCGCCGTGGGCGCCATCAGGGCCAAGGTGGCCGTGCGATCCGAGCCGCGGGCCTTGAGGTAGCGCCGAAGGAACTCCAGAGCCGACGATGCCGAAGGAGGCGCCGCCATGACAGGCGAGGCGAAAGGCGGCGGGCTTGAGGCTGTAAGAGAGGCTAGGGGGGGGGGGGGGGGCGGGAATCACAACCAGCAGCCCGGCAAGAACGAGCAAAGCAACTGGCGGTCCTGCCCTGCTTTTTGAACGCCCGACGTGGGCGACCGCCAAATTCGCAGCTCGGACTCTTCGTCCGGATGCTGCTCGCAATCGCTCCTTGAGAGCGGGACGCCGCCGCCCCAACAGAGGCGGCACCAAAGGTACCGATTGCCTTAGGGCTCGGCCCGGGGCGGCGCCCAAACCAAAACAGCCGCCCTCTCAGGCTCCACCGTGCGGCCGCAGACCGCCCTCGCGCGACGGCCGGGGACATCGAGACGGTGGACCTGCCTGTGCCAAGGCCCCATGCGGACCAAATACCACGGCTGCCGCGCCCACGTGCCAGGGGCGGACCGCCCGAAGGGACGAGGGGCCGCCGCGGTGCCAAGGTCCAGGGCCGCCAGCCCTCCAGGTAGGGGTCGACGAACTCGTGCCGCCACACGCCCAGCGTCGGGGCGGAACAGCCGGAGAGATACCCCGGAGAGTCCGGGAGACGGCGAGCAGGTGCTCCCAAGCTGTCCCTGCCCCCAGTCGGCGTTGGAGATATCGCCCGCAAAGGCGGTGGCCTGGGCGGGCTGGGCCAACACCAAAGGCGGAACTGCCATAAGGCGATGAAGGGCGAGGGCGGCGGCGATTGAGCAGCTCAGTCGGCGAGAGGCGCGCGCATGCAGGAGAGTGTCCACTGACTGTAAGGACGCCGGGGCGGCGGAAATCCTGAAGAACTGGCGGGCCCCAGAAGGCCAGCCACAGCCACGGGCTCTCCACGTAGCCCGGTCGGACTGGGCGGTGGACCCGCTTGATCTTTTCCAAGTAAAACAGGTGGGCGTCCTGGTCGGCCTCCGAGTCCGCCCCTTCCGCCTCCTCCTGAACGTCCACCAACGCGGGAAGGTCGGCCGGGCCGGGCCTGCTGCCCCGGCTGGGCCGCCGCTAGCTCGGGGCCAACTGCCCGGGCGCAGACTGCCTGGGTGAACCGCTCAATGGCGTGGGACGACCACCGCCCCAAAAAGCTGGATCACCGCCAGCGGCACGCCCGGAAGGTCGCGCCCGCGACGCGGCAGGCATGGCCGCCAAGACCGGCCGTAGCACCAAGGCGAGGCACGACAGGGACTCCGGCTTGGACCTGGTGTGGCCAGAGGTTCCGCGCCGACGACTTAAGGCGGCGAAATGTCGGAACATGGCGTGTGCCGGGCACAGGGGGTGCGTGGCCACACCGCAGGCGCAGCGCAGCGAGCGGCGGGTCAGTACCCGCTCGCCCCCCTGAGCGGTCTTGTGGAGCGGGAGCTCCAGCGTCACCAAGTGCCTGGTCAGCACCACGTCGCCGACCATCGCCCCGGCGATTTCAATCTCCCTAATTATGGCACGTGGCCAGCACCAGGACGTCGGTGGCGTGGGGGATGGCGACCGGGTCGAAGGCGAGGTCGCACCTGTAGGACACGAGGACGCCGGGAAAGGCCTCCTTGAGACGCGTCCCAGGGAGGCCCCGCACGATGGACTTCACCGCCCTGTTGGCGAGGCGGCGCAGTACGGGCGGAACCTCCAGCCCAAGGTCGTGCTCCTGGTGGTGGAAGGCGGCCAAGAAGTACTCCTTGGCGCTGCGATAGCCCCCCTTCTTGAAGGCCGCCCCCAGTGTCGGCGGATACCGGCCATGGGTCGACCTGGCCCTGGTACGACAGGGCCATCCACGTCTTCAGCCTGGACGCGTAAGGCCCTTTAGAGGTCTCCGCCAAGTACCCGTCGCGGAGCTCCTCCGTCCAGGGCCGCCCGCAAGTTGGCCCGAACGGGCACCCTCCGTCGAGGTGGGGCGGGACGCCCGCAGCAGCCCAGCCGCCCGAATGGCCGGCAAATGATCAGTCTGGCCTGCCCGGTCCGCCAGGGCGACCAGCTCGGCGAAAGAGCCCCGAGGCGGTTCCGCCACCTAAGCAACGCCCTTGGCGTCGAGCCGGGCCCTGCGAAGGGCTTGAGCAGTCGAGCCGAACTTAAGGGGGGGGGGGAAGGAAGAGGCTCACACAGAAGACCCTCACACTTTTTGGCGCACGAAGGCGGTGAGTGGTGCAAAATGGGCGGTTGCCCCGATGAGTGAGACGGCCGCCACGGCAGAGATGTAGAGGCAGGCGAGGTCGAAATAGCCACGCCCGCAAGGGGGGCCCGACCATGACGAACTCAGCGGTCACGCTCGCCCCGCACCGTGCACAATTGTGGCGCGAGTGCGGTCGCCCGGTGACAGGCGGATTGCTGATGGGGCGGAGGCACCGCCCGGCGTAAGGGCACCGGGCTGCCGACACCGGCCTGAACCAAGGGCCGGGGCACTTGGCGAAGCCTCCGCCCGATCCCAGGTGTCGGCGGCCGCCCCGTCGAGGCCGAGCGGCAGCTCAGAGTCGAAAAAGTCCGCCCAGGGCGGTGCTTCAGAGCTGCCTGTAGCGGTCCCACCGCTCCTTGCGCGTGACGGGCGTGCCGTCTTGGCGATGAAGGGACCTGTTTTTGGTCCCGTAGCCACCGCGGCCACTGGGCGGCACGCCCGCGCAGGCCGAAGACAGACGAGGATGCTGCCGGAGCCGGGAAAGGCGAAGCAGCCACAGCCGGCGTAGACGACGAGGAGGCAGCCTGTGGCGGGACGCGGAGGCGCTTGGCGGATGGTCGCGCTCCGGGTCCGCCCCCCGCTGCGGGACGATCACCTCCGGCGCCTGTTGCCCGGCCGGCTTTGCCGGGGGCGGCGGCGTAGACATTTCCCGCAGCTCGCGCTGGATCCGGAGCTGGAGCATCTCGTCGTAAGTGACGTCGAAGCTGGCCCCATTGCAGCCAGCGCCCGAAGGGCGTTCTCTGGTCGATCGCCCTGCGCTGCCGCTCGTAGGGCGTCGGCTCCTCCACGGCTGGCGCGGCCGCCGGCGGCGGGACGGGCGCCTTTTTGACAGGCGGGGGCCCCGACGAAGACACAGCCGATCCAAACAGCCCGGACGCTGATGAGCCGTTTGGGCGCCCGCCCCCGTGTGTGGGGGAGGCGCCTTGGCGAAGGGCTTGGCCTTCGGAGCCGTCATCTGCGGCTTGCGCCCACTGGCTTAGCCGACGCATCCCCCGACGAAGCCCATTTTGTGGGGGCGGGGTGGGAGGCGGCGGGAGCGGCGACGCCTGCCCCGTAGCCGCGGGCCAGCGAACCGTGGTTTCAGCTGGGCAAAACGCCTCGAAGGGCATGGGGAGCGTCGTGTCGGGCGGGGCCTTCGGCACGGCGCCCGAGAAGTCCTCCAGGTCGTCATCGCCGTCCTCCGGCACTGGCAAGGCGGCGGCGTCGACGGGGGCATCGCCCGACGGAGCGTCGACGTGGTGCGCGGCCGCCTCCTGGTCGGACCAAAACTGGCGGGCTTCTGGCACCGAAGGCCCTGGCACCACGGACGAAAGGGTTCCAGGCGGTGCTAGCCAGGCCTCAGCTGGCATGCCGCCCGACGGGGCTGCCGAAGATGCCGATGCGACCGGCAGGGAGGGGCGAAGACATAGCCGGCAACGGCGCGCTCGCTGGCGGCAAAGTGCCCGGATGACGGCGGCGGCGAAATAGGCGGGGTCGCCGGCCCGGCTGCCGGTTGGGCCGCCGCACAGACGGTCATCACGCGAGCCAAGTCGATCGCCGACAAGGTGTTGACGGCCGCAGTGAGCTCCCCATCGGTGGCACCCGCCACGAAGGTGGCGATGAAGAGATGGGCCTCAGTCTGAGTACCCGAAGAAACCCCGCCGGGGGCCGGGTGTGCGCCCAGAATGGGCGAGGTAAAGCCGGCGATCACCTCATCCTCCTCGTCGCCCGAGTGGGCGCCAGTCACCTCAGCCTCCAAAGACGTCGAGGGCACCGCCATAGACGCAGCGGCGCCCAGTCCAGCACCTCGGCCTCAGAGGCCGCATCGCCCGCCCGGCGGGCGGCAGCAGCGGCGGAGGCGGCGGCGGAGGCGTTAGGACCAGTCGACATGACCAGACAAGGCGAGGCGAAAGGACGAGGGGAAACTCAAATCAGGCGATCGAACCGGCTAGCTGCGGTTCGGTCGCTGACGCTTGTTCCTACTCGCACACGTGCGCTACACAGCAACGGTCTCCGACACAGCGGCCGACCGAAGGGAGCCCCGCACTGAGTGGTGCTGAAAAACGGCACCTTCCACATAACGGTCAAACTTTTGGCCGGCGTGGTGGAAATCTCAGCACGATCCTCTACTTGACGCCACTGCCCTTCACGAAGAATCCAAGTCGACCGAAGGTAACGACCTGGCGGCAACGCAGAAGGCGGCCCCCGCAACATTCGCGGAACCTTCACAACCAGAATAGGGTCGACACTGTCATGCTCCTGCAGTCCCTCCTTTCTGGAAAGATCGGCACGATAAAGCACCTGAGACAAAATCGGGGTTTCCTTGTAAGGAAAACAGGGCACCTCGCTCTTGAACGAGTAGTGCTGATTTAGGATGTCCTTAAGGGGGGGTGGTCCAAGGGGGGTAGGTAACCTAGTAATCCCCATTATTCCCCAATACTCCCTAAGCTTCCCTAAGGTTCCCCAAAGCTCCCTAGTACCCTCCCCCCTTGAACCACCCCCCCTTAAGGATCCTATAACTGATGGCCCTTCTCATCTTTGCTCTGGGAATGAGTGGGAAGCATCAGACCCATGATCTTTTGGGAAGATGTTGATCAGCTGACACGCGAGCGTCCAAATCCTTGAACGACTTAGTATGGATATCCGCCGCCATTTTGGCATTGACCTGATAGGCAAGAGAGACGTACCCCTCCTGGAAGATCGAAGGCATCCAACCGATGCTGATCCCATGGGAGCTCTCTAAATGACGCATGGTCGGATTCTTGCCCGTGTGAATCACCCCAATCATGCTTTGATTGTCGTCGTAAAAGACGAAGCTGGGATCTTGTCTTCCCAAGTGTTGCCATAGGGTGATGGCAGGTAGCCCTTGGCGAGTCATGGAAAAGTCGGCCGCGACAATCTCGGCCTCAGGTGTGGAGTGACTAAGGCACCCCTGCCTTTTGCTCAATCCTGCCGGAGGGAATCATGTATGTAGACCCCGAATGCGCATGTGAGCACCACAGGTAGACTTCAAGCTTTCGCAACATCCAGCATAGTCCGCATCTGCAAACAGCCCGATGGATGAGGTCCCCGAACAGTCCCCCACCCATGGCACCCAATCATCATGTGATGTTTGGACTGGTGCACATAGGCCATGATGTGATGCAACATCGCGTCCTCTTTCTTGGTCCATTCTATAATCTTGCGAGCCAAATTGTTGATGCTGCGCAACAGATCAAAGTGGCAAATGCGCGCAGCGTAGAGCAACTTCATGAGTATACTCGCAGCCTGCGGCGCTAAACTGCCACGGTTAGCCTCGCTGACTTCCTCTTCCTCTGGCGCCTTGGGAACGGGGAAACGGCCTGCGCGACGGCCTGCACGACGGCCTGCCCGAATCTGTTCCTATAGTATAGAGTAGCTTACAACGAACGCAGCTTTCCGTCACAAGCTCAAACAGGGGTCAAGAAAGGATCATATGTTCACTGCAAAAGGCATAGGATTTAAAAACCCACATGGCCATCGAATCGACATGGGCACCCACCGCGCTCTTACCCACGGTTTGCTCCCGGTCAGCCTCATAACAGGGTTCGGCTTTCACAAGTTCCCAAACTCTTCTTGCAATATTCCAAGAGATCATGCCAACAACATTCGCTATCTTCTACAGGGGCCCGTAAATCCTTGAGCGCACATTTCCAACTGCTTTCACAACAACAGCGATATTGGCGATTGGACTTCATTTCTTGCAGAAATGCATCGGGATTTCTGTGAGGACAGACCGATTAATCAGCAGTGGTCACGTCCTCTCATCGTCGCAAGCAAATGCCGATTGACCATACCGGCCATAACTGCCGAAGGACCTCGTGAAATGGCGTCACTTCCGGTGTGTCGGAAAAGCCCTGCTGAGTTTGGACGTATTCCCATTAACCAAAGAATGCGCGAGCTTTGTCGGCGAGTTTGAGTCACGCAAGGGATGCATCAGGCGGCAAGCACACCCGAGATGCACAGTCGCGCAACATAGGCTGGGCCGTCATCGCGGCACAGCGTACCCCACAAGGTCTGAAAGCAGTGCCGCTGTCTCGTGCTACTGCGTCAAGGGGAAGGTTTTCTGCTCATCACCTCTGCTCCATGCAACCAGGCAAGCAGAATTGCAGACACAGCCCGGTCTGAGATCAGGACCCAGAATTTGAGAGTCCATGGAAACCAGAGGTTTAGTCAACCTCTGGACGTGACGTGCGGCTCCAAAGTCGCATCCGTCAGCTCAGAGCAAGAAGCTTCCGTCAGGATATCTACTTTTCCTGCGCGACATCTGGGACCGTCGACAAATCTCTGTTTCTCTTCCTCCTCTGCAGGGCATGAGGGGCGTTCGAAACCCCTCGGCCACTGCTTGGGCCCCCCCAATTACCAAATAGGGCTTTTGGAGGAGAGTGTGAAAGAACTGGCTTAATCCCCCTGGCTTTGGACTAAGTGTCTCTGTTTCTCTCTCTTCTTGCTTTGGTTTGCTCAGGAGCTTGGAGGGTTGGCAGTCCCTGCCCCCCGCTCCAGGGAGCTTTCTCTCTCTTTTTTCTTTTTTCTTTCTGTAGGGCGTAGGGGTCGTCTAGCGACCCTCAGGCCTTCGGCCCGCCCAGCCCCTACACTCTCTCTCTCTCTCTCTCTGTTTTTCTCTCTGCTTTGCTCGGGGT